CGCTCTTGGTGTGGTGGTGACTCTCTGATGTTGCTAGAGTGAGGGCTCCCCGGTGTTTGTTGTTTAGACTTTGAGCTCTTCTCTCCCCTGTGCAGTATTTCATTTACCATGTTGTTTTATTCTCAGTTTGCTGTCTAAGTGTGTGGGTGTGGTTGCATGCACATGTGTGTGCATGTCCATGCGTGAGGAGGCCAGAAATCCATGTTGGGTCTCCTTCTTGATTGTTCTCCTCGTCCTCCTCCTCCTCCTCCTCCTCCTCCTCCTCCTCCTCATCATCATTTGAGATAGGGTCTCTCACTGGATGTGGTTCAACGATTCGTCTAGACCGGATGGCCGGGGAAACTCCAGGTTCTGCCTTTCCCCAGTGCTGCGATTATGGTCACGCACCACTGTGCCTGGCTGTTTAACGTGGGTCCTGGGGATCTAGGTTCGTACTCTCATGGCAAACACTTTACCAGTTAAGGCATCTCTCCAGGCCCTAAACTCTGTTTAAATACTCAGAGTTTCTTCTGTTTTGCTGAGGAACATGGCAAGTGCAAATATCCTGAAAATAGCTGAATATGTGTAAGAAAGTTGGGGGCTGAGAGTTATCAGCCCAGAGAGAGTGGGGGCAACTACCACAGTGCTTACTTCCTCCGAGAACAACTGTTTCCTCTACTGTCTGTAGCCTAGACCAGCCTTAGAGGTCCTGAAGTATGTAAACACTATCTTCTCTACCCATTTTACTGGGGTTCGCTTAGCACTTGGCACATGGTCATAAGCAATTCTGTTTATCCAGAAATCAATGTATAAACCTCATGCATTGCTTTAGGAGCCATTAATTCATGGATACATTTATTATTGTAAAACTGAGCTAAATCAATGTGAGGAGTGCCTCGTCTGAATCATTGAAGACTCATTAACATGTGCAGCTTTATTACATACTTCAAGATTGGAATAAGGCAAACAAATGGACAGCAATGAGTCTCCTTGGTTGTTAAGTCATTTACTGAGCAGATAAGAATAATGAGAAGTTGTTGCAACTGTTTATACAACTTCACACACACAGGGTACTACTAAATGAACTGTGGCTAGTAGGTTTGTTTAAACCGGTCAAACATCACCCTGGATACCCTCATCTTGGGTACACAGGGAACTCCCCTGGCCATGATCTTCAAAGACAGCATCAACTAGGATCTATATTGCCATCCGAGCTGTGGGCAAATAAATCAGACACTGGCAACAGGGCATTGTGAAGTATAGATTTCTGCCTTGGCCCAGAGTCAGGTGTGTGACCCTGAGAGATTTAGATGACGTTTTGCTTTTGTCACCAGGGAAGGAGGCACACTGGACTCCAAGGCTGTATGTGTGTTAGATACCGGATCTAGAATGCAGAGGGAAGATAGGAAGCCAATAAAGCCTCTGTGTATCTTCTGTCCTCTCATGTTTGACATTTTCTCCTGGTTCCTACTCCATAAAGTGGGGTCATCATGAGAAAGTAGGCAAATTAAGTCCCTAGGACATGACTTTGAGAAGCAGGGACAAATATTACTATATTTTAGAAATGTTCTTTTGCAATGTGAGCCTACACAGTTTGTCACAAAACTAAATACAGATACGGAAAAAATGGTAATAAAATTAAAGAATTGTTAGTTTCACTCTATGGAGGCCGCCCCTTCTGATGATTCAGAATAAATCATTCTTAAATCATTTCCATGAAAATACGTATGCTCATATAAATGCCTTTGTATTAAACATACCATCTGTAACCCACTTTCTAAAAGAAAAAAAGAAAAAATGTCTCAAATAGCCTTTCATGACAAGAAGCAGATGTATATTCCATGGTTGTATTAAGGTATTCTATTTCATAAAGCCATCATAATTTATTTAGCTAATCTTCCACTGAAAACCATTTGGATGAGCTCCAGTCCTTCACTCCTGCATGCACACAGTGAGCCATCAGCAAATGACTTTTAAAACAAATATTCAAACACTTGTAATGAGATATTTTGGCACAAAATGTAAGGACAGTGGATATGAAAGGAGTCCAAGGGAGAGAAATAGTTCATAAGCGGATATTATTCTTCTTGTAGAGGACCTGTTAACCAGAGCGGGATGAGGGAGAGACAATGTACCCTTGGAGGAAGTAGAAGTTATTCAATGACTAGCATGGATAGAGAGATACATAGGGGGAACAGCCTGCGAGACAAGTCAGCAACATTGAGAGGGGAGAGGGAGGGAAAGGAAGAGGGAGAGAGGAAGGGAGAGTCTAGAACCAATACAATCAAATTGTTGTATGGGCTGCTTAAAATCACACACACACACACACAGACAGACACATACATGTACACACACATGCACACACATACACCATAAGCTTGTCAGCTTTATAGTAATTGCCGAAGTAGACAGTAGTATTTACACCATGTATATAATAACAGATCATGACTGATTCTTCTGTGAGACAATATTCCAAAATCCAAGAATGTATTTTTGAGACTAGGATAAAATAGAAGTAATGTTAAGCTCTTAAAGAAAAGTAATCTAAAGAAATCCCATTCTCCATTACTTAGTACATGCATGTGTGCATACCACATGCTGAGCGTTGTTTCTTAACATGTTTAGAAAATGCTTTTCTCTAATTCTGGCCTTCGATGTTTTTAATTGTGTCTTCTTCTGCGGGGAGTGATGGGGCTTAAAACACTTTGCATCCCTGCCTTGGATCATAGCTTCAGAGAAAATGAAAGGGGAAGGCATTAGCTTCCTGTTTCTGCTGCTCTACAGACCACTTCCTGTTTTGGAAAAATTACAGTAAGGTGCAAGTGTCCACTTTCTCTAGACTATCATTCTTCTGTATATTTTGGAGTAGGGTGGAGTATATATTTGTGGGGACTTAGTGGCTTCTATTGCAACATTTCTCATGAAGAGTTCCTATCTACACTAGTAAGGAACAATGAAAACTATGTGTACAATGGACATCATATACATATTATGGTGATTTTGAATTTTTAAAAACAACACATACACAGAGAACTATTCTGACTCACTTGATACAGAAATGGTGTGCATACACACACACACACACACACACACACACACACACACACACACACACACCCACCCATGCCCAGTGCTTTAGTCTAGCACTCCAGAGTCCAAGGCAGACAGATCTCTTTGAGTTCAAGCCCAGCCTGATATACATTGTAAAACCCTACTTTAAAAATAAAACAACACATCAAACAATGTAAGTTATTGATGTGGACATCTTTGGTTAACTGTAAAGACTTAAGTTCAAGGTTTTGTTTGTGCTCTGTTTTGCTTTGCTTCAAGTCAGAATTTTGCTATGTAGCCTAGGCTGGTCAAGAACTCATGGTCTCCTTGTCTCTATCGTTAGAGTATGGGTTTTATAGATGTGGACAACATTCCCTAAGGATTCACAGCCTTAACTACTAGAACTTTCTTATACTCTTGTATCTGTAGGACCAATTCAAAGACAGAAGTAGGTAAGACTTTCCCACACATAGAAGGTGAGATGGAGGATATAATTATTCGTTTGCCCACGGCTGTTTCCCAGCATTCTTTTTCATAGATAGAAAACTTGGGAGGTTGACTTTTCCTCTATTAAACCTATAAAAAGTGGCCAGACTCCCCTTCTTTTAGCTAAAAATAAACAAACAAGAAACTATTCAAGACTGTCTCATATTAATCACATCCGGTGTGGAGCTCTGTCCTGTGTCACTTACACCCAGAGCAAGAAGGGAGAGGGTGGGGCCTCGCTCTAAACACTCCTAAGGGCACTTTAATTAAATCACTAATTCTACATGCCCAGCCAGTTTGGGATGACTCAGCAAGGTGAGTCACTTGGCACCATCCACCCCAGGAGTATATAAGCATGTCCAACCACAACATGACCTAGGAGAAGGGCTAGCAAAGTTGGATTCCTCAGTGAACATTCAAGTCCATCCCTGAGCCAAGCAAGGCTGGGGGTCCTGCTGATGACATGAGTATCATGAGTACCTTGTGTCTAACTTCTGTGTTTGCTAACTACTTCTGGAGAGGGCACTGAGTCAAATTCTTTCAGTGGGTTTGATTTGAGTCTTCCATATAGAGAGGGTCTTTGGCTGTACATATCCACATGTCTCCTTTGTTGTATTAGAATCTGTATTGCACAATCTCACTTTTCTGGTGTATGTGTCCTATATAGATATGATATTGCTGTAGCAGAGGGCAGAAGGCTATGTTTTGGGATCTGACTGATCATAGTCTCTTCATTCACTCTGAAAGGTTTAAAATTGGCCAATGCTGGTAGAGGAGAGTTAAGAATTGAACATTTGTGGTGAATTGCACACTCATGTTCCGTTTTGTGTTTCGTGACTTTACACAGATGTTAAAATACCTGCAACTGCCCTAAAAGTTCTGATATGTGATGTTTTTGTTGATTTTTGGATTATGCTTTATAACCTGCATGCTATTAACTACATGTTTGTGGATTCTGCTACTTGACTCAAAATACATGTTTTAGTTTTGCTTCTCAGCATTTTTGTGTTTGTTGCAGAACTCACACATAAGAATTGCTCTCAGGTAGTTCAGGCTGGGCTTGAACTCAGTAAGTGGCTGGAACTTTTGGTCCTCCTGTCCCCACCGCCAAAGAGCTGAGATTACTTCGTGGGTGCATGAATGCACTGTCCTGTGTGGCAGAAACTTGTTCTTTCTAACGCATGTCCACTTGATTTTCCCTAGACAAAGAGCACAGCCTCTCCCACTGGGAATGATTAGGCTCTCAGCAGGGCCCCTGCCGCAGATTGTCTGAAACCCTGTATCCAAATTGATTTCTTACCGCTTTACAATGCAGGCCCTGAGAATTGTACACTTTGTCAAGAGCAACATTCTTAGATTTAACATGCTTTTTTTGTTTTTTGTTTGTTCTGCGTGGTTTTGTTTCTTTTGTTTACGAAGCTGTTGCTAGGAAATCATTGAAGAAGCCTGGTCATCACCGTATCGCGGCACCTCACCAGAATGATCGATGTCTTCCTGTAACTTTAGACACAGCACCTCCACCCTCGGCTTTTCACTCTGTTACCCACTCGCTTCCCACGTAAACGAGAGCTGAAAGAAATAGGATTTAAAACGTCTTCACAGGTATGCATCTACAGACAGAGAGTACAGTCTTTAAAAATAGACAAATGAACTCGACTATTTCTCCCGTCGAGCATGTTAATCGCTAGAGCGTTTTGATCCCCAAAGGAAACCTCCAAAAGTCATTTAAGCCACCCTCAGACATCTGGAGAGAAAGGCTAGCTCTATGCTTATCTTCACCATTTGTGGCCAACGCTTCTTACTCATTTTTATTGCGGCTTGATTTTATCTTATTACTATTTTAAGGGTGTTTTTATTTTTTTCTCTGTCAGTTGAACATACCTTGTTCAGAGTAATAAGTCCACGCAGCTCCCACCTAGAGAAGTAGAAAAGGGAAAAAGATGAGCCAGGGTAAATTTAATGGGAACAATTATAATATTTAATTTAAATACCATCCAATATATGAGCAGTGACAAGAAAATTTTTATAGCTTGTCCAAATGTGGCCCTCAAATCCTTTCTCCCGCTTCTACCTCCTAGCCATTGTTCTCTCTCTAATTTTCTAGAAAAGTCACTCAGCAATGGAGATTTCGCTGTCCCAGTCTAAAAGCTACAGCTGTTGATCTCTGAAAAAGCTACAGCTGTTGATCTCCATCGAGGAACATCTGAAGGCCCAGTTTAACCCACAGGCACCTAGACCAGGTGCTTATTTTAGGAATGGAGATGACTAAACAGTCTTTCTTCCTTCTTTGGTTCAACAAGTTGGGCTTGCTTGTGGCTCTGAGACATCTGTGCGCTTCTAAACCTACTCATTGGTTTCTTCTTGTATGTTTCAGTCCTTTCCGGGCTTTCCCAGGTCCACATGTAATTTAACGTGTCCCTGGAATTATGCCCTTCGGAAAGCACCTCTTTCGGGAATGCGGCTTCCTGTACTTTAAAGTGTGGTCCATCAGATCCTCTCTTCCACTCCTACAGTAGATGCAGGATTCATTTAGGGTCAGTTTACTTACATTGGTGAGAACTGTTCTTCTTGCAAAGTTTTGATGTGGTTTGGGGAAGTTAAGGGACTGCAGGCAAGAAGCCTTGCTGGAGGAAGAGCATCCTTGGGGACTGTGCCTTGGGAGTTTATAGCCCTACCTCACCTCTCTGACCCTCCTCTGTGCACTGGAGATGTAATCTCTCAGCTTTCTGCTTCAAACACCTGTGGCTGTGCCTCTCCTACCACTATGGACTATATTTGAACTATGAGCCCAAATAATCCCTTCCTTCTACAAGTTGCCTTTGGTCACGGTATTTTATCACAACAACAAAAAGTAACTGGTATACATACAGCTCAGCTATTCCACTCTGGAGCATATACTTGAAGACTAAGTCAAACCACCACAGCGATGTATGTGCATCCTTGTTTATGGATGCACGATTCACAATATTCAGGACGTGGGACCAGTCTGAATGTCCATCAGCACATGAATGGACAAGGAAAATATAGTGCATGCACACAATGGGGTTTTACTCAACTGCAAAGATAATTGAAATCATGGCTTTGTCAGGAAGATGGATGTTAAACAAAATAAGCCAGGGTCAGAGAGACAAATACTGCATGTTTTTCTCTCATACATGGGACCTAGATTTGTAACTATGTATGTGTGTTATCTATATGCACATTATAATATTAATATGTGTTATGTGTATATGCGTACATGTGCTATATATGTGTATAATATATACATACACACATATATATATTTGAGGATAGTAAAACTAGAAAGGGTATCATGAATAGAAGGAAGCTATTTTAAGGGATGGGACACAGAGTAGTGGAATTCATGTGATGTGAAAGCAGACAGGACAGAATGTGGGAAGGGTACCAGCTGAGGAGGATCGGGGGTATTGGGGAGGCCACGGGAGAGAGGGCTAGATTAGAACAAAGCATCATAACTCATGTGTATGAAAATGGCACAGTAAAATTCATTCGTTTGTATGCTAACTTTTAAAGATAAATAATAAAAATAAGCAATGTTATGTTACAGTTAAATATAATTACCTCGAAAGACTGTAATCCCCAAATCTGTATTTGTGGAAAGTTGTAAATGCAAACATCGGAAGAATATCAAGTACAGGCTAACGTCAAACTGAAAGGGGTTGAAAAACCGGGAAAGAGAATTTCCATTGGCAACGCTACCTGTGGCTCTAGTCTGTCTCGTCCCGTGCTAGCTCTTGGGCTTCCTTTGCTGTTGTTTTGCCCTCTGGGCTCACTCCTGCCCCAGTGCTGTTGCATGTGTGTCTTCCTGCCACTGTACAGGCCTTTTTCTCTGGATTCTCACATCTGACTGGTCTCTGCCCACATGATGTTTTTTAGAACTGGCTAAAGTTAACTAAACACAGTTACCCAGTTGTCCACCAGCCAGCCATTCTGGGCGAGCAGCCATTGTAGTCTACCCAATTTGTTTTCTTCTCTGTCTTTTTTTTTTTTTTGGTTTTACGAGACAGGGTTTCTCTGTATTGTTTTGGAGGCTATCGGTCCAGCCTGGCCTCGAACTCACAGAGATCCGCCTGCCTCTGCCTCCCGAGTGCTGGGATTAAAGGCGTGCGCCACCACCGCCCGGCTTTCTTCTCTGTCTTAATCCTCTTCACTCTAAATGGCCGGATTCTCTTTGATATCTAAACAACTACACAATGTAACTTATCCTCCTCTGGTTCCAGAAGCAATATGATTTGGAATACGTAGTAGGATAATTTTCCCCCCGACAAAATGTGAATATAAAAAATTCAGAAGGGTACACAGAACATCTTAACCATTTGGCCTTCAGGTAGCAATCACATTGATGTTTATTTCCACTGCTACCCTTTTCTGTATCGGCTGATTTTACTTCAAAGAATATAAATCACAGAGAACAGTTGTTCTAGTCCCTTGTAGAAAACAATAATGAGTGCTATTTAGCGTAAACCCTCACTATGTGACCCCAGAGAGCCAGCAAGAACAAGGGCAACAGACTTACTGTGTGTTTAAGGGAGTAAACTCTGAGAGAGAACCTGGGATACACCAAGTTACAGTTTAGACCCTCAACTCCAGGCAGCTATTTAGAAAATGATTTTCTTTAGTCACTCAAGGAGGCACTGGGTTAGTTAGAATAATGTTAGAAAAACACATCAGGGCTTCGGTTCTGCTGTGAGATGGGGAGGTGAGGGGGGGTCATATGTGTTCCTTCCCTGTGAAAGAGAAGTGTGTTCTATAGAATAAGTTTGCCAAGTCTGCAGTTCTGAGCACTCTGCCTCTGTCCTCATCCTGAATTTCATTTGAATCATTAGCACACAGGCTGATAATCCAATAAAAAGAATAATTTCCTACTCCATTAATAAGCCTGTCTTCTCAATTTAAGAATGCATTTGCCCTTAGCAAAATTGAACAAAAAATTTAATGCAGGAAAATATTAGTGAAACAAAACTTGTCGTCTTTGTTTATATATTTTGGAATAAGGTTCATTTACACTCGGAGAAACAATAGATTTCCTGGCAGTTTCTCCTTTTCCTGGAACAGAAAGCTTAATTTTCCTGTCTGAAATGATTCTATTTAGGCAACAAATCTCACACTGAATATTGCTCCAGATCTTGAGTTATATAAGCCGACAGATGGCATTTGACTGGCCGTGACATGTCAGGCTGCGATGCGAGGGCTTGCAGAGCAAGCTGCCCTGAGCCTTCCAGACCGGCAGGCAGATCACATGTATGGGTGGGTGGGTCAGGTGAAAAACTGCCCTCTGACTCAGCTCCCTGTGGTCTTCACCAAGGAGCAAATTCCTCAAGATCATGATAGTTACAAACAGTCCTGATGAAGCTGGTGAAAATTGGATTGATCATCAAAACCAACAAATCTCTCCTGCAGGAGCAAAGATTCCAGGGAATGCTGTAGGAGAAGGATGGCTTGGTTTATGGCAATAGTTGGAATACCTTAGGCAGGTGGACCTTGACTCAGATGTGCACTGATTGCACTTTGGGCCAGAGCATTAAAAAAAATAAGAGAGGGGGAAAAAAGACAAAAACCAAACCAAACCAAAACAGTCTTCATAGCTTGCAACTTACTTCAAGAGAAAGATAATCTGTTGCTCCTTCAATAAGCATATGCACACACACACACACACACACACACACACACACACACACACACACACACACCAAGTGTCAAAGAGAAATAATGCCAAGAAAGAGTATTAAAAGACATACATATGAAAGTTTAAATGGAAGATTCCTTATAAAAAGATGACATTTGAGTAAACATCTGAATAAAGAGAAACAAGGCATTTGTATATCAGGGAGAAAACCTTGAAGACAGTTTATGGAAAGCCCAGCTGTATTTGGGCCTTCAGTTTGGGGACTGACAAAAAAATGATAAGACACAGTGTCTATGCAGTCTTGGAAGATGAAGATTGGTTACTAATATAAGGTCACAGTTTTGAAGTCCATCATTTGTAAATTTGTCTTTTTTCTAAATCATATGGAGTGCATTAGGATCAGACAAATGAGGCTATCTGAATTAGTGTTATCTAGGACCATTCTTTGTGAGCAACAAGGGCAGAAGTTTTTTTGTAATTTCTTGGAATTAGCTAGATGAGAAATAATTGTCTGGACCAGGATTGCATCAGTGGAGGAGGCAAGAATTGGGCAAATTCTGATGTATTTTGAAGGTAAAAATCAATATTTCTGGCTATTGGTAGTGGGGGAAAACCCAAGGGTCTGGGATCCTAGGGGGTTGGAGTAGAGCTGAGAAGATTCATGAAAATAATCAGGGGGCAGAAACAAGAAACATGCTTGTGGGTATCAGGAAGCCAGCTTGGGATTCGTTAGGTCTGACCTGACTGTTAGACTGCCAAGCGTGAGTATGCAGGAGGCAACTGGATGCAGAGGGGCCACTACCAAGAAGAAGCCTAGATGATGGGGAATGGACTGCTGTGTTTATGTTTTCCTTATTGGTTGGTGAGGAAAGCACTTTTGGCCAATAGGGAAGCAAGACAGGTGGAACTAGGAGTGGAGTAGGATTCTGGGAAATGTAGTAAAGAGAAGTCACCATGTGATCCAGGTAGGTAGTGATGTAGCAGAGCAGAATCAGTTATATAAGCAGGGATGAGCAGGAAATCTCTCTCTTCTCTGCTTTTCTCTTCTCTTCTCTGCAGAGTAGCTGAGTAGATGCAATGTAGACCCCAAAGGAGTAAGAGGACCAGACCTTTTCCCCGATAAGATAAGACCACGTAGAAATACATGGATTATTAGAAAATGGGTGAATAATTAAGCTAGAAAATAAGAAACCTTAGCCAAAGGCCAACAGTATTTATAACTAATATAGCATCTGCATGTTTCTTTGGGGTAGAGAAGGGTAGGCAGACCCTCACAGGGCCAGAAAAACAATCATATTACACCTTGCTAAAGATATAAACTAGGGAGAGAGCAGACTGTCCCTGGTTTTTCAAGCCACAAGGCTTCTTCATTCTTCAAAGGACAGTAAGCCAGCTGAGTATGGAAAGAGTGGTAATCTGTAGAAACCATTCCTGATAAACTGACCATTGGATTTGGTTGTATGTAGGTCATCACTGACCTTACTAGAGTCTGCCATGTAGAATCTTGACAAGATGCCTTGCTGGGTTGGGTTCAAGAGAGTGATCAAAGACAATTCTAGAATATTTCCTTTAATGGGAAAGAGATAGGTGGAGTGTTGACTTGATGGAAAGATGGGATCAAGAGAAAACTTCACAAAGCTTTTTATGAAATTATACTATATGTGGTGAAAGAGATATTTTTTAAGAGTATAGCTCTATAATTTTCACAGTGAAGCACACCCCAGTAACATACTCATTTCAGGAAAAAAACATATTACTCACACCTGAGATGTCTCTCCCAGCCACTGTCTCCACCCAACTATCCTAAGCTGAATTTAAAACTCACAGGTTTTTGGTCCACATCTGCACATTGCATGAATGGAATCACAGTTTTTCTTGTTAACACAATGCAATCTGGAATCACCATGGAAACACATTTCTTTGTGTGTCTATGAGGATGTTTCCAGAAATGTTTCACTGTGCAGGAAGACCTGCTCTGAGACCCCTGAGCTGGAGTCTTAACAGGATGAAATAGAACTGAACACCAGCGTTCACCTCTCTCTGCTTCCTGACTGAAGAGACGCTATGACTGGTGCTGCCACCCCCAAGCTGTTGGGATTGACCTGACTGGTGAGATGGGGAATAAAGAAACAATAGACATACACACAGAAAAACTGGGGCCAGGTGAGCTGTGTGGTATGATGGAGAAGCCCAGCAGTAGCCTGGAGACTCAGCACATTTATTATAGGAAGCAGGAATGAGAAGGCAAGGGGTTTATTATATACAGCTGAATGAAGAGGGTGGGTTTATTATACACAGCGGAAGTAGACCAGTTAGCTTCTCTCAGTAGGAGGTTTCTGAAGGGCAGAGGTCTCAGGCTGCAATCATCCTGGAGGAAGAAACTGTGCTTGATATTTTCTGTACACGCTATCAATATCCATACTCAGTCCAGGCGAAGGTCTTGTCATTCCCACAGGACTGAATCCCTGGGGTCCTTGACATAGCCATGTTCAACTCTATAACAAATATTCACTCAGGATTTCATCTACTCCCTACAGACTACCTGCCTCATGATCTGGTTGCCATGACTTCCCTTCTGTGACTCTATCCTCAAAACTGTGACCAAAATTAAGTCTTTCCTTCCTTGGGTTGCTTTCATCAGATGTTTGATTATAGCAACAAGAAAATCGCCAACGCAGTATTATTTTGTAACCGGCCTCTTTGTCTTCACAGGGTGCTTGTGTTAACCATCCACGTTGATTCCCATAGTTATGGTTTTAATGTTGCATCTTTATAATAATCCTTTATGTGCGTATGACAGGATGTATCTATCATTACACTATTAAAGGACAAGTGTGTATGTTCTAGGTTCATAAACAGTGCTGTTATGGACATTCTAGTATATGTTGTTTCATGAACAAATGTGCATGTTTTATTGAGTGTATTTCTGTAAGTGGAATTGCTGGGGCATAGAATATGCATATGTTCAACTTTAGCTTTCCCAGAATGATTAGACTAATATATGCCTTGTCAGAACTGTAAGAAATGCTATAGGCAACAGGGCTATTACCTCTATTGCCCACTCCTCAGTTTGTTGTGCATTAAGGAAGTGAAAGTGGACAGTGCCTTTACAAAAATATCTCTCTCTAACTCCCACTGTCTCCTTCGGTCCCA